TTCAAATATGATTAGGGGTTAATTTGTATTCGATCCTTTCTCAATCGGTTGAGTTTGGTCTAGCAATTGTGGTATCTCAAAAAGGATGTTAGGGAATGTTTCAATTTGATCTTTTTCTTAATCGAGCTTGTCGCACATGTCTTGCTTACATCTCCTATATGTGTTTGCAAGTTATTGTACGGGAGCAGATTTATTCAGTGTGCACCTGAAGAATAACCGAGATTTCCAACAAAAAAGAAAAACTGGATCAAGTTTATTCGATGTGCTTCACTCGAAGGATAAGAACTGAAAATTTCTAATAAAAAATAATAATGTATAAAAGCAGATTTACCCCGTGCGATTTACACCTTTACCTGAAGGATAGTGATTGTAAACTTTCAGGAAAAAAAAACAAAAACAAAAACAAAAAATTGTAATATATAAAAGCGAGTTTACATTGTGTCCTTTATTCAAAAGATAGCGATTACGATTTTCCAAAAAACAACAACATAATGTACATAAGCGGAGTTTACTCGGTGATTTCCCAAAAAACAACAACATAATGTACATAAGCGGGGTTTACTCGGTGCCCACCCAGAGAAAAAATAATAATATACTCCCTTTGTCCAACAATAGTTGTCCATTATTGACTTGATACAAATAATATGAGTAATTTTACTACTTTATCCTTTGACTTTATTAAATTTAATGTTTTGATAAATGTGTTAGATGATAAATAGTACTTTTAATAGCAAAGGTAAAATAGATATAAAAGGTAAATTATCTCCTAATTTTCTAAACTTGACAAGTATTGTTGGACGGAGGGAGTACATTTTAGTCTTTTCTCTTAAATATTTTCCCTATATAAACCTTAAACTGAGCCCCTTAATCCTACTTGATTTAATTTGGATGAAATTATCTGAGCTGACTTTTTCTCTTCTCTTTCTCTAAAAGATCACTTTTTTTTTCTTCACTTTCTCTCACTAAAAAACATGCTGATCGGAGCTACACTTCCGGCGACCAATCTCCATTTTTTTCAGGCGAGAAGAGCTAGCTTCAGACGCAATGGATCCCCATTAAACCCTTCAGCAAATTTAGTATACACACAAACTGTAAAAACAGAGATGACAAAAAAACACCTTTCAAATCTTGAAAAGCTCTTGCAAAATCAATCTCGGAAATCCCAATTACTCGATAATGATTCGCGGGGCGAAATTCATCCCCGCGAATCAAGGAGTAATGGGTCGAAGGTAAACAGGGGAAAAAATTTGTTGGAAGGGTTGAATTTGTCAAGAATTTGGCCTGAACACAAGGTTGCTGAAGAAATGTCTCCAAGACATTTAAATAAGCTAAAAAAGCTTTTATCATCTAATAACATAGAATACTCTCCAAGAAACAATCTTGGTAGTAGATGGAAAGAATATCATGGTTGTAAAGATTGGTTAGGCCTAATTGATCCTTTGAATGAGAATTTACGACGAGAATTGATTCGTTATGGGGAGTTTATTCAGGCAGCTTATCATTGTTTTCATTCGAATCCTGCAACTTGTAATGAAGGTGATTCGAGAAAAGTAGCCTTGCCTGATAAGTCTTATAAGGTGACTAAGAGTTTGTATGCTACATCGTCTATTGGATTGCCAAAATGGGTGGATGATGTAGCACCTGATCTTGGATGGATGACACAAAGATCGAGTTGGATTGGTTATGTCGCAGTTTGTGATGATCGATCAGAGATTAAACGTATGGGACGGAGGGATATTGTCATTGCTCTTAGGGGTACTGCAACTTGTTTAGAATGGGGGGAGAATTTCCGCGACTTATTGGTTCAAATCCCAGCAGAGACAACAGAAACAACAGAGATTGAGTCAGAGTCAGAGTCAGAGTCGAGTGAAGGACAAGCTAAAGTGGAATGTGGATTCTTGAGTTTGTTTCAAACAGCTGGTGTTAATGTTCCTAGTTTAGCTGAATCAGTAGTTAATGAAGTGCAAAGACTCATCGAACAATACAAAGGCGAGTCTTTAAGCATTACTGTGACCGGGCATAGTCTTGGAGCGGCTTTGGCTTTATTAGTTGCAGATGAAGTGAGTACATGTACACCAGATGCACCACCGGTGGCTGTTTTCTCCTTTGGAGGTCCTCGAGTGGGGAATAGAAGCTTTGCAGATCGATTAAACTCAAAAAATGTTAAAGTACTACGTATCGTGAACAATCAAGATGTTATCACTAGAGTTCCAGGGATGTTTGTGAGTGAAGAACTCGACAAAAAGCTAAGAGAGTCAGGATTTGTAAGCGGGATGCTAAATGTGCTCGACAAAAGTATGCCATGGGCATACGCTCATGTCGGCACTGAGCTGAGAGTTGACACAAGAATGTCACCATTCTTGAAACCTGATGCTGATGTTGCTTGTTGCCATGATTTGGAGGCATATTTACATTTGGTAGATGGATACTTGGCATCAAATTGCCCTTTTAGAGCAAATGCCAAAAGGAGTCTAACAAAGTTGCTGAGTGAACAAAGGTCTAATATCAAAAGGCTTTACACTAACAAAGCAAAGGGATTGAACCTAAATCTTGAAAGAGAACATAGTTTCTCTACACATAGTTGCTTGCCTAGTCCATCTTCTTGATATTATTAATTAGCTAGAGGATGTATACTTCTAATACAAATAAGTAATAAGAAGTATATGTTTTCTAATTTGTAGTAATTATTTAGTCAATCTTTTATTTCTTAATATATATATACAAGGTTCGAGATAAAGATTTTGGGTTCAGATAAACCTGTAAGTATTGCCTACATTCACCTTAGATAGTGGAGCTTTCGGGTGTGTTTGGTATGAAGGAAGATATCCTGAAAAATAAGTGATTTCCTTTTTCTTATTTATTTTCTAGTGTTTGGTTGTCTGCAGAAAATAATATCACAAAAATATCTAAACATAATGTAGGCGAATAATAACTTTTAGACGAGGATTATTGGAAACAAACTCTCTACCCTACAAAGTTACGGATAAGGTTTACGTACGTCCTATCTTTTTCAAATCCTACTTGTAGATTATGGTGAGTATGTTGTTGTTGTTTTTGATAATGTTAATGAGGGTGAGGCGTGGCGTGTTGGAGGATGAAATAGACACAATTAGTGTGAAATATCACGTATCAAACTTGTTTTCTCCATTTTTATTAGGACGTTTATCTTTCTCGTTTTTAAATAACTTGTTTCCTATAATCAAAGATAAAAGATTTGAAAAATATAAATTTTTTTTCTTCTAAAGCATGAGTTTCAACTTTTACTTTCATTTCCCTTTCTGCAATATCCAATGTGAACAAATAAAAATTTTATACCAACTTTTTTTTTGCACTTATTCCTTTTGACAAGGAAAAACAAAAGTCAAATGATGTTAGAAGAAATAAAAAGTCATCATGTAGTAGGTAGAACACAAAACACCGAGTATACAAGAAAATAGTTGACTCCAGCTACCTAAATTGAACACCGCTTTATTTATAAGATAGGGATAAAATTGAGTATAAATCATTTTCTTCATATAATAATTATAATATTATATTGAATTATTGTCTAATTATTTATTGACCTTTTCGAAGAATTATACTGTAATAGATTTCACCAATATATATCTGCTATCTTTCTTCAAAATAGATATCAAGTAATTTTGTCCATCATGATTACAATAGGTAAAAACAATCACGATATATATAAGTAATTATTATACACAGTTCAATATATATTTTAATCGGGAGATGTAAACAACAATCTATCCATCCTAATTTATGAAATATTATTTAATTGGACACCCAATTTATTTTTTATTGAAACTTGCTATAGTCTGAGTAAAACACCTTGCATCCTATCAAGGAGGAACATGAGTTTAAGAATTGCTTGTTATATAAAAAAAGTAATTGTGACATAGGAGGGTTATATTGTTCGGTTCTTCACACAAAAGTTTATATATTTTCTTTCCAATCAGTATAATTTGATCGCTTAACTACCCGCACACCAATTCAGGGGATAAGAGATCAAATCATGGAGGCACAAGACAAAACTTACATAGTTTTTGATCTAACTATTAGACATTTCATGTGAATACGTCCGTTGGAATTTTCGTTTTCAAAATCTTAAATGTATTTGTATAAGTATAAACCATCTTATTAAAAATAAAAAAACATCACATTTAAAAATAAAAAAAACTAATGGAAAATGTGATTCTATTTTGCATATGCATCTTACTTAGATTTGACAAGGAATCTCCCCAACCAAGTCTACACAACCGTATGGTAAAACCAAAAATTATTTAATTTCACAAATATTCGTATCATAAACACTAATCTACTTTATAGTTTAAAATAATTATATATTATCTTACTAGTTAACAATTTTATATCAAATTTTAAGTCAAACACCATCTTTTTAAATCTCAGGTCTAATACATGTATAAAGATATTAAAATACTAGATATATACATTCTGGAATATTGATACATAGCTGATGAAAGAAGAGAGGAGAGCAAGAGAGTCGGCATGTATCTTTTGATATTAGATTACATATATATTTGATACCAGATATTTTGAAATACAAATCATTAGAGAGAAATGTGAACGTGTGAAATATATGTGAATCACGATAAAATACATTGTATCTGAAACAAACTATACCTAATTTAATTTGCATATATATGAGTGCCCAAAATAGCAACAAATCATAAAGCCCAAGAATCATTAAGAGTTGTGGTAGAGTAATAAATATTTATTCATCCTTGAATAAGGAGTCATTTGAGTCCTATTGAATAAGGAGTCATCATAGTTAGGGAGCGTTTTCTTTCGAATGAATAGTCACGTTCCAATGTGGATACCGAAAACGTGAAACAAACATAAAACCCAATAAACAACACAAGCAAAAGAGCCAGGGCCCACCGCCACCCCCCACCCTCACACCCCACCCCCACCATCAATTAGGGTTTTTAAGATTCGGTTCACTTCACTTCCTCAATTATCAGCCGTTTTGGCTAGGTATTCACAATACCCACAAATTTGTTTCGCTTCAAAATTCTCAGAAATTCATCTTCATATGGATTTTAATCTATAGGGTTTCTTGATTTCTTGAAAAAAATTGGTTCTTTTGTATCTTTCTTTTTATATATATATCTGTTTAGTAACTCGAAAGAGTGAAAAAAATGGCTACTGTGAACCCATTCGACCTTTTGGATGATGATGCTGAGGACCCAAGTTTGTTAATTGCTGCTCAGCAGCTAAAGCATGTGGCTCCTGTTGCATCTGCACCAGCCAAGAAGGCTCAAGCTCAGCCTACTAAGCCTGCTGCTAAGTTGCCGTCAAAGCCAGTTCCTCCTTCTCAAGCTGGTAATAATCAATTTCTAATCATTTTTGAACATTTTGAGTTTTGGATTGTTGTATATTCCTTCATACTTTGTGTTTTTGGGTTTATATTTTGTGTGAAATTGGCACCAATGAAACTGAACTAGTTTAGAAGATTTTTTTATAGTTGACCCCATTAGTTTGGATTGATATGTAAAGTTCTTATTTTCATTGTCGTTATTGATATAATTGAAGAAGTAATGTTAATATACCATGTTTGTGCTTTTTGGGTGTTTTGTGTAAGGTATTAGATACAATATGAGGAAAAAGATAAGTGCGTAGAAAATTTTGTGCATTGGTTCATATTTAAAGTTTAAACCAGCAGCAAGGGGCTGAACTTAAGTAGACAGTTCATATTGGTGTCCCAGTTAGTTTAGTTTAGATTGAGATGTAGTAGTTCTTATTGTTATTGCATTTGTTGTAATAGTAAATGAATATGGCATTTTGTAACATTTTTTCTGCAAGATGTTGGGTAATATATGATAGGTGAGGAAAACGATTGAGCCAGTAGAAAAATTAGTTGTTTCGCCTTAAATGAGAATTTGTGCTATTTGCAAGGTGATGCTTGTCTTCGTCTTTTCTTTCGTTGTTTATTCTCTTGCAGCATGAAGTATTTATCTTGGAACTGTTGCTTTTCTCTTCCCCATGTGACACTGTTAGACTATAGAAATTAATTTAAGTTCCATGCCTAAACTTTTAGGCTATAAAAATCAGTTAATCAAGCTTTTAGGCTATACAAATATGTGGAATTAATGGTAGGTTTGTTTAAACAATTGTTTTCTGTCTGTTATTTAGTAAATATGATCCTGTGCAAATGACAGGGAGATAATTTCCTCTGTGATTGTGAAATTAAAATACGGTTATGGACATATGATATGGGTATTTGGTTGGCCAGAAATTGTGTGACAATTTATATAGATCTTTTATTGAAAACAGCATTCTTGTGTTTCCTTATTGTCGCCTCTGTCTGGTGTGTCATAATTGGTGTTGTTGCTGTTGTGTTCAGTAGTGACCATATTTCTACAACAGGCAAATAAGCTCTTTGGAATATGCTGCTCTTTAGTTTTTCTTCATTGTTGTTCAGTATTTTCATAAACTTCTAGGTCATGTATAGAGTCTCTTTACCTAATTTCTATGCTGTACTATAGATGCTTTCATAAATGGTACAATTTTTCCCATTGCTTATTTGTGTATTTATTTTGAGCAGTGAGGGAAGCCAGGACTGATGGCCAGCGAGGAGGCGGCCGTGGGGGTCCACGTGGAGGAGCTCGCGGACGTGGGCGTGGACGTGGGTTTAACCAAGAATTTACTGATGATGGGAATGCTTTTGGCAGCAATAATGGATTCTCTGGGCGGTATAGTGCTCCAGAAGATGGAGAATCAGGAAAGGTTTCTGAAAGGAGAGGTGGATATGGTGGATCTCGTGGGGGGTTCCATGGAGGTCGTCGTGGTGGTTTCAATAACGGGGATGCTGCAGAAGGAGAAGGGGAACGCCCAAGGAGAGTGTTTGATCGACGAAGTGGAACTGGCCGTGGGTAAGTGATTCTGCTATTTTTGAAATCCACGCAAGTGCATTTCACTGTTCCCTTTGTTGGTTGTTGAATAGCTCTAAGTCGTGCTTATTGTGGTTGTCTTTGTTTCATGTGCATATGTCTGTATCTTTATTGATCTGTTTTGTTGTCTAGGAATGAGTTTATTAAACGGGAGGGCTCTGGTCGTGGGAATTGGGGAACTACTGCAGATGATATTGCACCGTGAGACTGTCATCTCAACCTTTTGTTTCTTTATTGCCCTTGGCTATGTATTAATTTTTTCTTGTAGTTTAATGTTGGTTTTTAATCCAAATTCAGGGTGACTGAAGAATCTGTTAATGATGGTGAGAAGATTGTCGATGCTGAGAAACAATCTGGACAGGAAGATGCTGGAGACACCAATAAGGATTCTTCTGCTGCTGAGCCAGAAGAGAAGGAACCTGAGGAGAAGGTAACTGTTATCCTGGTGAAGATCATTATTTGTTTTACTTGCTTACATGCCGAATTCTACTGTTGCAAATGTCACAGCATTATCATCCTTTTTTTTGAATTCCTGGACTGCCATTGAAGAAGTTTTATGTACATTTTTCAACAAATAATATATATTTATTAAAGAAAATTTCATCTCATACCAACTCTACAATCCTCCGCAAGTCTCGAAAATGAAATTCAGTAAAACAAATTGAATTTCAAACTCATAAATGATTTTTGCTTATTGAGTAATTCTATTTGCATTTTTCAAGCTAGTAGTTTAATGCATTCTTCGTCCCTTCGGGGACATCCGATAAAAAAGTTCAATGCAATCATCGGCCACCATCAAAATGACATGCAAGTCATACCAACTTGCTAGTGTTAGTTGCATGTTTCCAGCTGTTTTTATTCATGTGTATCTATGATCACTATCCAGGACTATTAATTATTCATCTCTGCTTGTGTTGTAGGAGATGACCCTCGAAGAGTATGAGAAGGTAATGGAAGAGAAGAGGAAGGCTTTGGTGGCTCTGAAGCAAGAGGAAAGAAAGGTTAATTTGGACAAAGAACTTCAATCCATGCAACTTCTCTCAAACAAGAAGAATGATGATGAGATCTTCATCAAATTGGTGAGTTATTTAGTGCTTGCTGCTATCATATTTTGATTGCTCTATTAGGAACTTGATTGTGTCGTATGCTGGTATATTCATCATGCTTGAAATTTTATGTCTGGGCAGGGTGCTGAGAAAGATAAGAAAAAAGAAGCAGTGGAAAAAAACAAAAAGGTACTTTAGCTTCTTTTTTTAAAGTGGCTGTATTGGTATTATAGCATCATCTCTTTATGCTTTTTTTGAGAATCACTTCCATTTCAATAACTCTTTATTTGTCAAAAGTTATCCACACACTGCCTACCACAATCAAGGAGACTTTGTTCCACAACCGTATCAAAAGCCCGCACTTTACCCCCAACCGTCCAAATCCACGCTGGTCTATGTTCCAACTCTATCAGTTAAATAACTCATCACCATTCTACATCCAACAGGGGCGCATAGCTGGCCCCCATCCATTTCCCTCTTGCGATACTTCTTCGCTATTGGTCTTTTGCCTGTTATTAGCCTTGGACGGAATTCGCCCTGCAAGCACAAGCCCCTCCTAACAGAGAAAAATTGTCTTTTCTTTTTATACCTTTAGAATTCTGGAAAATAAATTCGAGTAAATGCTCTTTTAGACTGGAAGGTCAACCTCCACCCATACTGACAACACCAACATAATTGTAATATCATGTATACAGTTATGTTGGTGTCATCATTATAATTTTCCTCTATATAGTGTATACAAGTTTTTGCAGGTTCAGTACTATTGTACTCCCCAATTGAGTACACAGTTATGCTGGTGTCAGTATTTTACTGTTCCTTTTTCAGAATGCTTTGTCATTCCTTGTTTAGTATTTTACTATGGTTTCCTCACTCCTGTTATTTTCTTGAGCGGCGTGTCTATCGGAATCCTCTCTACGTGCCAAGTTATTGCATATTGGTTTTCTTTTTCTCATGAAGAGGGTGAAAGTTTACACTTCAGTAGGACCCCATCTTGTATAATATTCTAAAGACAAGACATTGATCCACGAATGGGTTTGAGTTCAATAAATTTAATTACTGTTTCAATTGTGAGGCTTGATACATTCAATTTCTTGCAGACAAAAAGCATAAATGAGTTCTTGAAGCCTGCTGAGGGAGAAAGTTACTATCGCCCTGGTGGCCGTGGTAGGGGCCGTGGCCGTGGAAGAGGTAATGGCGGTGGATATGGTGGAATCAACAGTGTTTCAACCCCATCCATTGAAGATGTTGGTCAATTCCCCTCCTTGGCTGCCAAGTAAGGGAGCAAGTCCTGCATGGATTAGGTAAAAAAGGAAGCAAAAGCAACTGTTGTCGTCTGATCCGTCTTCCTTTTTCCGTCATTTATGATATTTCCCGGAACCTTTGGGCATTCTTGTACTAGATTTTTTTTTTTGGAAACTCCATAATTGTTCTTTAGAGTATAGATTTAGATGTTTTCTGAAGGTGTATGCCCTGGGTTTTTGTTGACTTCTTTTATACATTTATGAAAACCCTTTTCCTTCGTATTTAGGTGTTAGGCTTTGATCTTATATTTTCTTGTTTACTTAAGTAAATCAGTTTTGATTGGAGTTTTATTAGAAGACAATTACATATGTTTCTCTTTTTCAATTACGACGTTTAACTCATCGTCCCGTGGAAACAATCTCTCTACCTCCACAAGGTAGGGTAAGTTCTGTGTACACTCTACTTCTCAAATGCTGGGTTCATGGGTATGTTGTTGATGCCTAACTCATTGTATGGTAGTAATTGTAGAGTCAAAATATTTAGTATTGAAGTGAAACCGATCCAAGTAGAGTAAAATTGATAATGAGCATTCATATAATTGATCCTCGCTGGTAATTGATAATTGAGGTGTTTTCTGCTTAATCTGAACATGGTGTAATAAAGTCATTTTATGAACTTAAAAGAGAAATCATATAATGTTACAAGAGTGGTTCATGCACAAAGACTTGTATTTTCTGGTAACAAATTCAATATTCTACCAGCAAGAATATAGGTCCTTTTATTTGGTATTTTGAAAGTCTTATCATGCAATAATTGCAAAAGATATACGGAATGTAAATTCAAGTGTTGTTACTTAAATTGTGATGTCGTCGAGTTAGAAGGGATGAATCTTTATTTATATTGTTATTTTAAAAAAAAATCTACAAGAGAAATGATTAGCCAAATAAGAAAGAGAGAAGTATTGAAGTTCTGAATTTGACGCAAATTATTAGTTTCGTTCTAGAAATATTGACAGATGTAAAAATACTCTCTACTTGACTAAATAAATTTAGATACATTTTCGATCTGCGACATAGTAAATGGTTTCAAACTCTTGTAGAAGCATAGAACTTTTATTAAAAAGCCGAGATAAATGTTGAAAGCCCTCTTAAACTTGGTGAGAATTTAGAGTGTATAAGGGTGTATTTAAGTGGTTTCAAGTAAAGGGATGTTTTTGAGACTGTCAATAGTTTGGAGATGAAACCAACAATTCACGCCGAGTTTAACGGTGTTTTTAATATTTCTCTCAATACGAAAATCATGGCAAACATATAATATCTTGCATCCTATCAAAGGAGGAACATGAGTTCAAGAATTGCTTTCCAAACAAAGAAGTTGTTGTTACAAAAGAGCATTTTGTCGTATTATTTTTTTTCACGAAAGTTTGTTTGTTTTTATCATAGAATAGTTCAATTGATCAACTAAGCCCGCTCTCCGGTACACAGGCTAAAGGATCCTTATTTTTAGGATTCAAGATGCAACCTATGATCATTTTCAGTCTAGTAATACAACTTTTTGTGCAAGTTCATCTACTGAAATTCTTGGTTTGAAGATTACATAAATGTTTGTTTTATGGTAAATCATATAAGAATTTTAAGGAAAAATATTTTTTTTTAATTACATGAATGTGATGATTTTGTTTTGGACAAATTATGTAAAATGTCAATCTTATTTACCATTTTATTTTAGGGAAATTGTATAAAATAACAAATTATTAATTCAAATTAAATGTTATAACCACAGTTTGATTTAATTGTAACCCGTAACAAATTGTTGTCATTTGCCTCTCTCCCTGAAGTTCTCGCTCGCCACCCTCGTTCCTCGCTGGCTCCCTCGCCTCTCTAACTTTTATACAAACACAAATGTATAAAATGCATTTGTGTTTGTATAAAGTGAAAGAAAACTGTATATATACATATCTTTTCGTTCGCCTCTCTCCTCCAGAGAATCTCGCTCGCCACTCTCACTCGCCTCTCTCACTTTATACAAACACAAATGTATAAATTGCGTTTGTGTTTGTATAAAGCGAGAGAAAATTGTATATACAAATACAAATACATATATTTCGTCCTATACACTTATAATTATACAAATATAAATCTTTCCCTTGCCTAGTTTTCTTTTGTCTTTCTCTCTTCCTCGTTTTATACAAACATAGATTATACGATTGATTCTTTTGTATATGTATATACCGAAACAGGTTATACAATTGATTTTTTTTATATATATACCGAAATATACATATTAATAGCCATAACAAACATAAAGTTTGCTATGGAGCGCAATTATACAAACTATAAATATAGCATACAAATATGATTTTTATGTTTGCTAAAGCTAAAATTTACTCTTTTTATTACCTCAATTTATTTATTTACTTTAAATGGCTATTCGCTCCTAACTTTTCTTTAAAAAATGGCCGTGCTACATCTTCTTTGTTTTCTTCTTATCTTCCTTCTTCTTCCTCCTCCTCCTTTGTTTTCTATTGTTGTTGTTGGTTCTACTTCCTCCTCCTTCATCTTCTATTAAATTGACATATAAAAAACGTGAATCGCTTCAACCGAATTATATATCAAAAGGCTTGAAATATCGAGAAAATTTCATATCAAATTTTTAAAATAGTTTAAAAGTGATTTTGAGTTGATCGAGATTGAATAACCAATATATACTTCATTATAGATAAGTTATATTTCAAATATATCTCATATACAAGTAAGTTATAGTGTATCGTCAATGTATACTCTATATGACTTTTAACAATGTATATTGTATAGTTATTATATATTATCTATGACTTTTGATTACTTAAGGTCAAGGGTAAGATAAAGAGCCAGACATGGTGGAGTATGAGCATCCACTCGACAGTATTTTTGGCTTGACCAAGAAGTCTTATATCCTCCGAGTCACACAAGCACCTCATCTTCTCATTTCATCGTTGCTCGTTCCCGTTAGGTCAAAGACTCGAAGTGTTTGGCCTTTCCTTCTCTGTGCCTGCTCAAACTTGGTGCACGAACGACAACTCCAAACTTTACACATCCGTCGCCTACCTGCCGTTTAGATAGCACCAACAAGATCCAATAAAGAGGTATCGCGACTGCTCCACTCCGTTGCGCTACCGTTGCTTATTTTATATATATATATATATAAAATACTATGACTATATTTATTGTATACCACGTAATTACTTTATTATATATATTTGAAATTTATAAAAACAAACAAACCACTGCCCCGGCCCATACACTGAACCTTTCCTCAAACCCCACCCCCTAAACACCACCACCCCCACACCACCATATCTAGGGTTTTTAAGATTCGGTTCACTTCACTTCCTCAATTATCAGCCGCTTTGGCTAGGTTTTCACAATTACCACAAATTTGTTTCCCTTCAAATTTACCCATAAATTCATCTTCACATGGATTTTAATCTATAGTGGTTTCTTGATTTATTGAAAAAATCGGTTCTTTGCATCACTCTCTCTATATATCTGTTTAGGTGCTCCGAGAAGAGTGAGAAAAAATGGCTACTTTGAACCCATTCGACCTTTTGGATGATGATGCTGAGGACCCAAGTTTGCTAGTTGCTGCTCAGCAGCTAAAGGCTCCTGTTGCATCTGCACCAACCAAGAAGGGTCCAGTTCAGCCTACTAAACCTGCTGCTAAGTTGCCCTCCAAGCCGGTTCCTCCTTCTCAGGCTGGTAAATATTCAATCTTTGAACATATTTGTGATTTTGGATTGGTGTATATTCATTCATATTGTTAAAGCCTACATGAATTGAGCTTAACTAATGTAGATGGTTCATATAGCTGACCCATTATTTGGATTGAGATTAGTAGTTCTTATTTTTGTTGTTGTTGCTGTTCTTGTTGTATAAATTATAATATATCTTGTTAAACTGGAACGAATGGGGCTGAGCTAGTTGGATTGAGATGTAGAAGTTCTTAGTTTTATTGCTTTTGTTGTAGTAGAAGTAGTAGTAAATAGTAATGCATTATTTCTATTAACTTTTGAACATTTTTGTGTTCTGACTTTATACTTTTGGTGTTTGGGGTTTATATATATCGTGTGGAACTGAGCCAATTTTGAATATGGCTGACTCTATTAGCTTGTATAGATATGTAAAAGTTCTTATTTTTATTGTTGTTATTGGTGTAATAGTAGCAGTAGTAGTAATATACCATGGCTAATTATTTTTAGACATTTTTGTGTTTTGAGTTGATGCATATTTGTTCATACTTTTTTGTATTTTTGGGTATTCTGTGTAGGGTATCGGGTACTATATGAGGAAAAAGATCAAGTTGTGTAGAAAATTGAGTATGCTAATATAATATGCTATACTATTTTTTGTGTATCTGGTTCATATTAAAACCAGCAGTAACAGGGCTGAACTCATGTAGACAGTTCAGATAGGTGTCCCAATTAGTTTTGATTGAGGTGTAGGAGTTCTTATTTTTATTGCCATGTTGTAGTAGTAATGGTAATATACCATTTCTAATCATTTTAAAATATTTTGGTTTCTTAGGTTCATGTATACATAACTTTATTGTATTTTTGTGCTTATACTGAAATCGACACGAATGGAGCTGAGCTACTGTAGATGGTTCATATCGCTGATCCAATTAGTTTGAATTGAGATGTAGAAGATACTTTTTTTTTGTTTCTTTTGTTGTAGTGGTGAGTGTATATGGCTTCTATAATAAGTTATGCTGTAAGGTATTGAGTATCATTTGGTTGGTGAGGAAAACGATTAAGTGTGTCTAAAATTGAGTTTGTTTGGTACTGTTCCGTTTTTAATCATTTTAAGACATTTCTGTGCTTGGGTTCATGTATATGCATTCATACTTTTGTTTTGTATTTTTTGGGTTCATATGTTGTATGTAACCAACATGAATGGGGAGCTGAGCTAATGTAGTAGAATTTTATAGCTACCCAGTTAGTCTGGATTGAGGTGTAGTAGTTCTTATTTTTCTTCTTGTTGTAATAATGAATGAATATGGCATTTTGTAAGAACTGTTTTGTGAAGTGTTGAGTATTATATGATTGGTGAGGAAAAAATATCAAGTGTAGGAAATTTAGTTTTTTTGGGCCTTAAATGAGAATACATGCTATGTGCAAGGTGATGCTTGTCTTCATCTTGTCTTTCGTTGTCTATTCTCTTGCTACATGAAGTATTTATCTTGGAAATGTTGCATTTGTCTTCTCAATGTGACACTGTTAGGGCTTAGGCTATAGAAATACATGAAATTAATTTTAAGTTCCATGCTTAAACTTTTAGGCTATAAAAACCAGTTAGTCAATTATGTATCAATCCAGGATTAGTTGGGAGTCTGAATCAAACTTCTAGGCTATAATATGGAATTAGTGGTAGGTTTCTCAATGTTTAAGCAATTATTTTCTGTCTGTTATTTAGTAAATATGATCCTGGGCAAATGGACGTGAAGATATTTTCCTATGTGTTTGTGGTATTAAAGTACAGTTATAGACTATTGGATTTCGTGGTATGGGGATTTGATTGGCCGGAATTTGTGTGACAGTTTATAATAATCTCTTGTAGAAAACGCCATTCTTGTGTTTCCTGATTGGTCCCTCTGTTTGATGTGTCATATTTGGTGTTGTTGCTCTTGTGTTTAGTAGGATCATATTTCTATAACTGGCAAGTAAACTCTTTGGACTTTGCTGCTCTTTAGTTTTCCTTTATTGTAGTTCAGTATTCATCTGTTGTGAATCAACTTCTAGGTCACATATCGAGTTTCTTTATATCTGTTTCATGTGTTGTACTACAGACGTTTTCATTAATAGGACTCCCTCTATTCCATATCAAGTGAACTAATGGGCCTTTTTTCATAGTTCAAAATGAGTGAACTGCTCAAAGTTAAAAAAAAGTGTTGGGATTTTTTTCTTCATATTTACCCTTCATTTAATGAGGTTCTTAACTACTATACATTTTCTAGGAGAATAGTTTGGGAATAATCAGAAGGGTAATAGTGGAAAGTAGCCTTCAATTTTTGTCCTTATATATTTTTCTTTAGGGGTGTGCCATACCCCAACAATTCATTTACATGGACCAGAGGGAGTAATTTTTCCCATAGCTTATTTGTGTATTAATTTTTTTGAGCAGTGAGGGACGCCAGGAGTGACGGCCAGCGAGGAGGAGGTCGTGGGGGTCCACGTGGTGGAGCCTGTGGTCGTGGGCGTGGACGTGGGTTCAACCAAGATTTTGCTGCTGATGAGAATGCCTTTGGCAGCAATAATGGATCCTCTGGGCGGTACAGTGCTCCAGAAGATGGAGAATCAGGAAAGGTTTCTGAAAGGAGAGGTGGATACGGTGGATCACGTGGGGGGTTCCATGGAGGTCGTCGTGGTGGTTTCAATAACGGGGATGCTGCAGAAGGAGAAGGGGAACGCCCAAGGAGAGTGTTTGATCGACGAAGTGGAACTGGCCGTGGGTAAGTGATTCAGTTATTTGAAATTCTCACGAATGCATTTCTCTACTCCCTTTGTTGGGTTTTTCAATAGCTCTAAGGCGTGCTTATCGTGGTTGTCTTTGTTTCTTGTGCACATGTCTCTATCTTTATTGATCCGTTCTATTGTATAGGAATGAGTATATTAAACGGGAGGGATCTGGTCGTGGGAATTGGGGAACTACTGCAGATGATGTTGCACCGTGAGACTGTCATCTCAATTTTGTTGTTTCCTTATTGCCCTTGTCTTTACATATCAAGATTTTCTTATAGTTTCAATGTTGGTTTTTAATCCAAATTCAGGGAGACTGAAGTACCTGTTATTGATGGTGAGAAGATTGTCGAGGCTGAGAAACAAGCTGGACAGGAAGATGCTGAAGACACCAATAAGGAATCTACCGCTGCTGAGCCAGAAGAGAAAGAACCTGAGGAGAAGGTAATTGTCATTTCCTTGTTAAGACCATTACTTGTTTTGCATGCTTACATCCCTTAAGTCTGCTGTTGCAAATTAATATCCGTGTCACATCATTATCATCCTCTTGGGTGGGCTTTATTTTGGGAGGGGGGGGGGGGTATGAAACGTAAATTCAAAATTGAATTCCTGGACTGTCTCCTTGTTGATTGAATCAGTTAGGACGCGTAATATTGGCTCTGTTTAATTTTTCGAAGCCAGAACTGGCTTTTATTTACTGTCGATAAATTCTTTAACATTATCCCACTTTTTTCTATGGTAGTTTAATACCCCCCCCAATAGACCAGGAGCTAGAAATGATGTGTTGTTTGGAATTTCAGAATTATCAGTCTTCAACAGATGATTCTACATATCAATTGGCAGATACCTTGCTCTACAATTATTAGCTCCCTCGTTACCCATCTGCCGAAATGGCCTTTGTGGGGTTGGGGGGTGGCAGTGGCAGTGTAGAATAGTAGTGAAAGCCAACTTGTTGAAGTAGGATGCATTGACTATAAAGTAGCTGTTTACTGTTTTTCCATTTGGAAACACCGTTATCTTTTCTGACTTTATGCCCTCATTCTTGACTAAAATATAATAACCACTTACTGCTCTGGTTGTTTCATTTACAACTCACTGTTTCTTTTTAATAACCACTTGCAAATATTTCTATGAAATAGCTATGGACTTTAACTAATGTTTTCTGGTAGACTAGCTACTTCTTACCTTGATTAGTATATGTGGAATAACTTTTTGATAGCTATTTAATTACTATGTTGTAGCTAGTGGTAGTTGCATGATTCCAGTTGTTTTTATTCATGTGTCTATGATTACTATCCCGAATTATCAATTATTCATCTCTGATTGTGTTGTAGGAGATGACCCTCGAAGAGTATGAGAAGGTAATGGAAGAGAAGAGGAAGGCTTTGGTGGCTCTAAAGCAAGAGGAAAGAAAGGTTAATTTGGACAAAGAACTTCAATCCATGCAACTTCTCTCAAACAAGAAGAATGATGATGAGATCTTCATCAAATTGGTGAGTTGTGTTTAGTGCTTGCTGCTATTATATTTTGATTGCCGTCTTTGGAACTTGATTGTGTTGTATGCTGGTATATTCTTCATGCTTGAAATTTTATGTCTTGGTAGGGTGCTGAGAAAGATAAGAAAAAGGAGGCAGTGGAAAAAACCAAAAAGGTACATTAGTTTCTTTTTTAAGTGGTTATATTTGGTATTATAGCGTCATATCTTCATGCGTTCCTTGGGAATCCATTCCGTAATATAAACTCTTTATTTGTCAAATGTTATGTACATTAGAAGGGTCTTTGCTTGAGGGGAGAGTAATCCATTCTGCCGCCCTGCAAGCGCAAGCCCCTCCCAGTAAAAAAATGTGTTTTATTTTGGACCTTCAGAATTCCAGAAAATAAGTAGATGTTGTTTTTAGATTGGAAGGTCAACCTCCACTCATACTTCAGCAGCTGAAAAGAAAACTTTTTCTTCCCGTGATTGTTTTTTCAATGAAAAATGGAATAGGGAAGTAATATCATGTATTCAAATGTGGTGGTGGTTATTATTATAATTTTCCCTAATATTTCATATGCATTTATGCGGTGTCAGTATATTATAATTTGTGGTTTCACCACAATATCGTTTTAATTTTAAAATCATTGCATTCTGTTTTTCTTTTTTCACAAAAAGGTTAATGCTTACACTTAAGTAGGGGACCCAATCTAGTACATAATATTCTAAAGAGAAGACATTGATCCACAAATATTTTGTGTTCAATATATTTAATTACTGTTTCGATTGTGAGGCTTGATACATTCAGTTTCTTGCAGACCAAAAGCATAAACGAGTTTCTGAAGCCTGCTGAGGGAGAAAGTTACTACCGCCCTGGTGGCCGTGGTAGGGGCCGTGGCCGTGGAAGAGGTAATGGCGGTGGATATGGTGGAATCAACAGTGTTTCAGCCCCATCCATTGAAGATGTTGGTCAATTCCCCTCCTTGGCTGTCAAGTAAGGGAGCAAGTCCTGCATGGATTAGGTAAAAAGGAAGCAACTTTTGTCGTCTGAGCTGTCGAACCTTTTTCCGTCATTTATGATATTTGGGCTTTGATGATAACATAATGTTTCCTGGAACCCTTTGGTTTTCCTGTATTAGAGATTTTTTTGGGTAACTTCATAATTGTCCTTTTAAGAGTGTAAATTTAGATGGGTTTTGAAGGTGTATCGCTGGTTTTGTTGATTTTTTTTATACATTTATGAAAACCCATTTCCTTCATATTTAGGTCTTAGGCTTTAATCTTATACTTGTTTACTTATCAAATTAGTTTTGGTTGGAATTTATTAGAAACAATTATGTTTATTTTTCAATAACGGCATCTAACTCTTTGTCCCTCGGAAACAATCTCTCTATTCCACAATGAAGGGGTAAGGTCTGTGTATATACTCTACCCTTCTTTGACCTCAATTGTGGGATGTACTGTGTATGTTGTTTTACGTCTAACTCATTGTACGTTAGTAATTGTTGAGAATCTCATAATAGATCCTTGCTTAGTTTGAAATTGATATGCTTTGAGTTTTTTTTCTGCTTAGTTCATTGACAAAACTCTAATATTGTCTTAGATTGTGTGATATGTTTGGGGAAAATTATTGACGTCTCTTAACCTGATTTGTTTTTATACTGTGTAGGATTATGTTGATCAGCGTGAGCTAAAAGTTGGATGCCAGTTTTGTAACATTTTTGGTTATTTTTTCTTTCTTTCTGATTTTGGTTATTGTTGTTGAACATGGTGTAATATCATCATTTTTATGAACTTAATAGTAGATGATATAATGTTACAAGAATGGTTCACTTATATTTTCTGGTAACAAATTCAATATATTCTTCAAGGAGGAATATCTGGTCCTTTTATTTTGTATATTTTGAAAGTCTTGTCATGCAGTATTGCAAAAGAGATGGGTGTTTTAGGGATTGTAATTGTTTTTATTTATAGAGTTATAAACCTTTTTCTATGAGATAAAGGATTAAGTAGATTCTGAAAATTGTGCTTTTCTGTTGGGTAAAAGAAAAATCCAATCATGTTAAGAAAATGATGGCAAACATCCAATTAATGATTGCTTTCCCTTTTCTAACGAGGGAATAGCCCTTATTGAAGAGGGGTTTGTCTTGTTGGTTTTTGCATGTAAGTTTGTTTTATTTTGGCCATTGTAGTTTGATCAACTAAGCCTGTTCATGGACTAAAGTATCCTTTTCTTAAGACTCATAGATGCAACTTATGACAATCTTATATATCTATGTAAAATAACTATAATTTGTTTAATTATGATTTGTTGCTACATGTTAGAATGTATATATGTAATTATTAGTATATATATGTATCAATGATTGTATTTGTATATTTGTTAGATAATTATATACTAGCTTATTAAACATACATACATACTATGTATAATAATTTTACCTATACTTCCAAATAATTAAATATTTTATCACTAATTAATAATTTCCTACCATATATTGAGAAGAAACATCTAGATACATGAATTTGTGTTATCATATATCCTAAATTAAGGAGAGAGATGACGAGATGAGGAGGAAGGCGAGTGAGATAGTCACGTATCCATATACATGCGAATCACACAATATACACACTAACTATATGTATTTGTATGTATTTGGTGTGATTTAGATGCATCTGAGATAGAAGATACATATGAGAGCGGTGATCGAGATAGGAGGAAGGTATTTCTTATGTATCGCAACAACATGTGAATTCACTTCGATACAATGTATTTAGAACAATTTATATCTATTTTTAAACTCGTGTATCTCGAGATACATGTATTTGAATGCACTAAAATTTAATTTAATTTATAATACTGCAAATTAAAATATATCTAAGTAATTAACTTCTAAATTAGTGAGATTTCTGTAAGTTTCCCTAATAAACATGTATACCCATCAATGAAATACGATTATATTTAGACAAACTAAAGGCCCAAGAAACTTCAACAAACAAACCACAGCCTGGCCCATACCCAAAACATACACATAACCTCCCCACCCCCACCATATCTAGGGTTTTTAAGCTTCCGTTCACTTCAGTCCTTCAATTATCAGCCGCTTTGGTTAGGTTTTCACAATACCCACAAATTTGTTTCCCTTCAAATTTACCCATAAATTCATCTTCACATGGATTTTAATCTATAGGGGTTTTTATTGAAAAAATCGGTTCTTCGCATCACTCTCTCTATATATCTGTTTAGGAACTCCGAGAAGAGGTAAAAAATGGCTACTTTGAACCCATTCGACCTTTTGGATGATGATGCTGAGGACCCAAGTTTGCTAATTGCTGCTCAGCAGCTAAAGGCTCCTGTTGCATCTGCACCAGCCAAGAAGGGTCCAGTTCAGCCTACTAAGCCTGCTGCTAAGTTGCCCTCCAAGCCGGTTCCTCCTTCTCAGGCTGGTAACTATTCTATCTTTGAACATTTTTGTGATTTGGGTTGGTGTATATTCATTCATATTTGTATTATGTGATTCGTGAGGAAAAAGATCCGTCCGTGTAGAAAATTTAGTTTTTTTTTTGCCTTTAATGAGAATACATTCTATTTGCATGGTGATGCTTGTCTTCATATTCACTTTCAATGTCTATTCTCTTGCTGTATAAAGTATTTATCTCTGTATTAATGGTAGGTTTCTTAATGATAATGTCCTCTGTGATTGTGAGATTAAATTATGGTTATGGACTTATGGTATGGGGATTTGATTGGCTGGAAATTGTGATACGTCAGTCTTGTGTTTTTTGATTGTCTCCTCTGTCTGATGTGTCATATTTTTGTGTTATTCAGTAGGACTGTATTTCTATAACAGGGAAGTTAACTCTTTGGACTTAGCTTGAGTGGCGAAAGGTAGAGGATTTGTGGCTTAGGTCGTAGGTTCAAGCCCCACACCACACAAAGCGAAGCCCTGTATTTAAGTGGAGAAGGGTAGAGGGGTGGGGTCATTATCCACTGAGTTTAGAAGGTTGTGATTGGTCCAAAGGGGGGGGGTCACATATGAATTTCTCGGTCATCAAAACAAAACTCTTTGGACTTTGCTGCTCTTTAGTTTTAACCTGTTGTGAATCAACTTCTATATCACATATCGAGTTTGTCTTTACCTGATTCCTGTGTTGTACTACATATGTTTTCATGAATGGTTCTCCCTATAACTATAAGTTGTGCGGACTCTTTACTTTCAAAGCTGCGCCCATGTATTAGCCCTTTAGTTCATATTAAGAGAATTACCTTGACTTTTTTCATAGATCAAAATAAGTGATTGTTTAAAGTTCAAGAAAATTGTTGGTACTTTTTTTTCCCCATGTTTACCCTTAATTTAATGAAGGTTCTTGACTAGTATACATGGGAGAATAGTTTGGGAATAATCAAAATGTTAATAATGGAAAGTAGCCTTTAATGTTTATCTTAATATTTTTCTCAAGGGATGTGCCATAACCCCAACAATTGACTTATATGGACAGAGGGAATATATTTTTTCCCATCGCTTATTTGTGTCATAATTTTTGTGCAGTGAGGGAAGCCAGGAGTGATGGCCAGAGAGGAGGAGGCCGCGGGGGTCCACGTGGAGGAGCCCGTGGTCGTGGGCGTGGACGTGGGTTTAACCAAGACTTTGCTGCTGATGAGAATGCTTTTGGCAGCAATAATGGGTTCTCTGGGAGGTACAATGCTCCAGAAAATGGAGAATCAGGAAAGGTCTCTGAAAGGAGAGGTGGATACGGTGGATCTCGTGGGGGGTTCTATGGAGGTCGTCGTGGTGGTTTCAATAATGGGGATGCTGCAGAAGGAGAAGTTGAACGCCCAAGGAAAGTGTTTGATCGACGAAGTGGCACTGGCCGTGGGTAAGTGATTCTGCTATTTATGGAATTCACACAAGTGCGTTTCACTATTCCCTTTGTTGGGTTGTTCAATAGCTCTAAGGCGTTCTTATTGTTGTTGTCTTTGTTTCTTGTGCACATGTGTGTATCTTTATTGTTCTGTTCTATTGTATAGGAATGAGTATATTAAACGGGAGGGCTCTGGTCGTGGGAATTGGGGAACTACTGCAGATGATATTGCACCGTGAGATTATCATCTCTATTTTTTGTTTCCTTATTGTCCTTGGCTTTACCTATTAATTATTTTCTAATAGTTTAATGTTGATTTTTTAATCCAAATTCAGGGAGACTGAAGTACCTGTTATTGATGGTGAGAAGATTGTTGAGGCTGAGAAACAAGCTGGACAGGAAGATGCTGGAGATAACAATAAGGATTCTACTGCTGCTGAGCCAGAAGAGAAGGAACCTGAGGAGAAGGTAACTGACATTTTCTGGTGAAGACCATTGTTTGCTTTGTTTGCTTACATGCCCTAGTTCTATTGTTGCAAATTAATATGTGTCGCGGCACCATCATTCTCTTAAGTGGGGTTGCTTTTGGGGGGAAGGAGGGGAGAGCATGAGGTGCAAATTCAATATTGAATTCTTGGACTGTCTCCTTGTCGATTAAATCAGTTTGGACAAGGAATATCAGCTCAGTTGTCCATATTCCAGTGCAATCTAACTTGTCCAAACCAGTAATGTATTTTATTTATTGTTGGCAAGTTCTTCAATATTTATCCCAGTATTTCCAATGGTAGTTTCATACCCCTTCCAATATAGACCAGGAACTAACAAATAAGCATTGACTAAAATAAAACAACCACTTGCTGCTATTGTTTTTTTCATTTACTACTCACTGTTTCTTTTTAAATTAGCATTATGCTGTTATAAATGTTTCCTGTCGCAGATATTTCTATGAACTTTAACTAATTTTTTCTGGTAGGCTAGGTGCTTCTTTACTTTGATTAGTATTTGTGGATTAACTTTCTCGTAGCGGTTTGATTTACAATGTTGTAGCTAGTGTTATTTGCATGATTCCAGTTGTTATTTTTCATATGTATCTATGATCACTATCCGGGAACTATTAATTATTTATCTCTGCTTATGTTGTAGGAGATGACCCTCGAGGAGTATGAGAAGGTAATGGAGGAGAAGAGGAAGGCTTTGGTGGCTCTAAAGCAGGAGGAAAGAAAGGTTAATTTGGACAAAGAACTTCAATCCATGCAACTTCTCTCAAACAAGAAGAATGATGATGAGATCTTCATCAAATTGGTGAGTTATTTTAGTGGCTGCTGCTATTATATTTTGATTGCTCTATTAGGAACTTGATTGTGTCGTATGCTGGTATATTCATCATGCTTGTATGTCTGGGCAGGGTGCTGAGAAAGATAAGAAAAAGGAGGCAGTGGAAAAAGCCAAAAAGGTACTTATGCTTCTTCTTTTTTACTGGCTATGTGGTATTGTAGCATCATTTCGGAATCCATCCTGCAGCGCCCCGCAAGTGCAAGCCCCTCCCAATTGAAAAAAAGTGTTTTATTTTGGACCTCCAGAATTCCGGAAAATAAGTAGATGCTATTTTTTGACTGAAAGGTCAATCTCCACTCATACTTCACCAGCTGCAAAGAAACCTTTCTCTTCCCTTGATTGTATTTTCGATGAAAAATGGAATAAGGGATATACAAATGTGTAGGTGTCATTATTCGAATTTTCCCCAGTATTGCGTGTGCATTCATGAGGTGTCAGTATATTATAGTTTGTTGTTTCACCACAATATCATTTTAATTTTAAAGTCATTGCATACTGTTTTTTTCACGAGATGAACAGTGAAAAATCACTCAATAGGGTACCCAATCATAGTACATAATGTGCTGAAGACAAGACATTGATCCACAAATGGTTTGAGTTCAATAGATTAAATTACTGTTTCAATTGTGTGGCTTGATACATTCATTTTCTTGCAGACTCAAAACATAAACGAGTTTCTGAAGCCTGCTGAGGGAGAAAATTACTACCGCTCTGGTGGGCGTGGTAGGGGCCGTGGCCGTGGAAGAGGTAATGGCGGTGGATATGTTGGAAACAACAGCGTTTCAGCCCCATCCATTGAAGATGTTGGCCAATTCCCCTCCTTGGCTGCCAAGTAAGGGAGCAAGTCCTGTATGGATTAGTTAAAAGAGGAGCAACTCTTGTCATCTAAGCCGTCTTCCTTTTTCCCATCATTTATGATATTTGGCTTTTGATGATAACAGCATATTTCCCGGAACCTTTGGGCTCTCCTTTATTAGATTTTGTTTTGAGACCTTTATAATTGTTCTTTAGAGTGTAAAATTTAGATGTTTACTTATCAAATCAGTTTTGGTTGGAGTTTATTCAAAAACAATTATGTTTCATTTTCAATTATGAGTCTTAACTAGTTGTCGGTTGGAAATAGTCTCTCTACCTTCGTTCTCAATAGTTTTGAGATGATTATCTTAGGGTGATTTTTTGATCGACATTTGCTCTTATTACTCTACTAGTCTATAAAAGATGAGACACTTTATTTGAAGACGGTGATGATACAAATTTATTCCACATTTTTAGCTGAATTTATGTCAAGAACCTTAGTCAATAGTTACCACTAACCGTTTTTGATACCAAATATATTGTTTTTTCCCCAAGAATGTGGCATGCATTTGCAACTATATCAAATTCGAGAGACTATTTTTGATAGACTCCTCAAAAAAACAGTCCAAAGTAGAATAGGGATAAATAACATAAATGAAAATAGTCATGGCAAAATACTACAGACAATCCTGTCAATCATCCTAAACAATAGTCATAACAAGCCCTCAAAGGACAAAGGAACAGCAAGAGGACAAAGGAACAACAAGAGTAATACTATTAATAGTATGATTAATAGTAAAGAGGAATCAATGACACAATGCTCAACTAATTACCTAACCTCCTATCGTACTATGTGTCCTCCCTAACCTTCTATCTAAGGCCATGTCCTCGGTATGTTGAAGTTGCGTCATGTCATGCCTAATCACCTTTCTTCTATACTTCTTCAACCTATCTCTACCTCTGTTGAAATCATCCATAGTCAACTTCTCACACCTCTGCACTGGGATATCCGTGCATCTCGTATGCACATGTTCAAACTTTTCTACCATCACAAGATAAAGATAAAGTTATATTCACACCCTCTTCAGATCTCACTTACGAAATTACATTAATTATGCTATTGTTGTAAAATTTTAAATAGCACAAATAATGATGAAGAGATTTTCTTCCCATCAAACCACCTAAGATTAATTTTACATGTCATGCCAAGTTGAAAACATCAATTTCATAAACTAAGTTGTCCCTCTCAAGTTGAATAGGAACCACACATTTGGTTGACAAGTTGTCCTGTACACAGTTGGGGTGACTATTGTAATAATGTTTTTCATGCTTTGGTCCAGACAATAGTAATAAAGTAAAATTTTATTTGACCAAACCAAATATTATCATCTCCAAGTTCATAATATTTGTAGTTTTGACAAAATTGCAAAATTAAACTTATTTGAAATAAAGATCGATTCAAGATTTAAAATTTATAAATTTTGATGATCCGTTACTTGCCACAAAATTCACAACCCATTTAGTGCTACTAGATTTGCAATTCACTATATGTATATATTTAGTGAATTTCTCAATATAGATGAAGTTTGGACCAAGTATGAACTCGTACCGTATATTGTGCATTCACCCTTGATTTTAAAATTTTTGTTCTTTAGAAAAGTGTCAATGTGTGTTAATTACGTGACGCTTGAGAGAGATAAATAATACTTCTTTCGTTCACTTTTACTTGTCCATTATATTTAAAATATATTTTTACTCTTACTTGTCCACAATATTAAAAGTACATTTTCACTTTTATTTATTACTTTTAGCATATCAAAAGAAAAATATATTTTTCATGTTTTACCCTAAATATTAATTATTTATTCTCCGAATCATTTATCAAATCTTAAGACTAATTAAACATCAATTAATATGTATTGTGATAAAATATTTATATCAACTATTACTTTTTTAAAAACTTACAAATTCCAAATTGAACAAATAAAAATCAACATAGGCTTAAATACCAATATTTAACAATCAATGTCATAACTAAGTTTGACTCTCAAGTTGAGTAGCAACAACTCTTTAGGTTGATAGGTATGTCCATAAATATGTACAGTTGGGAGACTCTCGGTGTCGTTTGGTTGGGAATAAGTTATTTCGAAATAATTTATTTTGTGATAAGTTATATTATATATCATGTATATGGGATAAATTATTCCATTACTATGGTAAAAATGGTGAGATAAATAATCCAAGGACTATCTAATACCTCCAACCAAACATGAGATAAAATAATCCTACATTTTATCATTTGATTATTATACCTTATACCTCACACCGAATGACTCTTTATAGTTATAATCTTTTTGATATCAAAAAAATTATTATCATCTCCAAAAAAGTTTAAAGTTTATAAGCTCTGATTAATTCCTCGTTTGTCACAAAACTCACAACTTCTATAATTAAGTTTACAGTTTATTATATTTATATACATATTTTTGAAAAATTATCTAACACATATATTGAGTTTAGGCCAGACATACAAAGTTCAATCGAGCTTGTATCATATATTATGTATCCATTTTTTATTTTAAAATATTTCATTTTCTAGATAAACAAGAAGCATTTATTACTATTTTTTAAATGAAAAAAAATCACCCTTACTATCACATTATTGATGTCGATTGATGATTTTTAAAAAAACACTTTCTGATATTGAATTTTAAAAAAACTGTTAGATTTTCCACTCTATTTTAATTCGTTTTAAGATAAGAGTGAAAGCCTTGACCCAACCGAAAGTATGCTGTGTCTGTTTAGCACATGTTAATTGAGAGAGACATTTAAGAGAGATAAATAGTTGTTTGGTCAAGTAGTAAAATATTTATTGCTATTAAATATTTTTTTAAAAATATGTGTACACTTTCTAAAGGACACATAATATTATGGGTTGAGCTAGAAAGCAATTTATAGATTCAGCCGAAATCAATAAATTTATCCTAAATTATATATTTGTGACGTAAAATTCATTAAATATCTGTAAATTTAAAATTTTAAAATTAAGTTATTAATATTTGAATTTGTTTTTGTATAATTTAAAATTCGTAAAATTTAATTTTTTAAATGTCTCTGAATAATATAAACTAGAAGTGTCTTTTTAAGGACACACAAAATTCTTAAAAGACAGGAAGGAATGATAAAATTAACCCATAAAAATATGATCTTGCCAACATGTTACTTCTCCTGTCTCAGGTTTAGTCTAAAAAGGAATAACACATTTTATATTAGTAATAATTTAACTTTAGTCGAGGGTCTTTCAGAAACGAGATCTCTACCTCCGTGATGTAGTAATAAGGTCTACATATTTCAATCCTTCTTAGACTCACTTGTAGGATTTCATTGGATATGTTGTTGTTGTAAAATAATTTAACTTTAAAATGTCTATTTTATTCTTAATAAGATGATTTATAGTCACACAAATATTTATGACTTATTTTAGATTATAAGTTTCAAAAATATTTCTTTCTTTCTTATATCAATCAAATCATCATATAAATTGGTGTAAGAGGGAGTATTTATTAACTCAATACATTTTGATCCACTCAAATTAAGCCTAACTCACTCATTTTAACTCGTTCAAATTCTATCTAACCCGTTCATTTGATATCCTGATATCTTCCTAAGACCAATCATATTAATTCCCCATCAACATAGCAGACCAATAACTCCAGTTGGTTAAGACATTTTTGGTAGTTCACATATAATTGGTTTTGTGTAAGTCTTATTTACTTTTTTTTTTTTAAAAAAAAAATCGAAATCTATCTGTTCCAATTAATTTGATGAACAATTAATGTTGTCACCTACATCTTCATGAACATTAATTATTTTACAGCGAAGTTCAACATTCACCTGTTTCCAACTAACAACTTAATTAATTATACATTTAAATAATAAAGACGTATTATAGGCAGATAATTGATTGTATGTTGAACCCTTTTATTACCAAGAATGGTGGGTTTTAAATAGCATTAAGTCCATCAAAGCTGACTCTAATAGGTCGTTTGATCGGCGAATAAGTTATATTATCAATATTAAGATAACATATTGATGAGAATATTTAGTAGGATAACGATTTTAGTATGGTATAAAAATAATACAACAATTGTGATAGATAATCTTAAAATTGCTAATCACGTAATCAAAACTCAATCAAATATGAGATATAGTAGACAAGTAATCATCACTTAAGACCGTTAAGATCATTCACTTAATTTATTAGGAAAAATAAGTGAACGACCTTAACAGTCATTTTAGAAGTAACTCTGACAATTCAAAGTGTGGTTGAAGTTATATTTCTTTACTGAAAATAAAATAAAATGAGCACATATATGGAAATCTTTGGTTGATATATTATATATAAGTAGATCAAAGGTTCAATAATTTATATAGAAAAGGATCGAATTTATCCTTTTATTATTTGAGAAAGGTTTAAATTTTACCAAATGTTATATTATTCGAACGAAAAATCCTCCAATACTAACTAAAAAGCCAAACATCTCTTTCTACAAATGGCCTTTGAAATTTGGACTAAAATAATATACGATTTGAATTAAAATTACTGGAGTATATTTTATTGAACATATACTTTACATACTAGCTCCGCCCAATTATGCATGTGGAAATTAAAAGGACTCTGACAATTTAATTTTGTTTGTACCATTCAAATATTTTTTTCTTTAAAATAATCATGCATGATGCAATATAAAGATCCATAAATAGATATACAATACTATCTCTGTCTATTTTTAATTGTCATCGTTTTTTTTTTTAGAGTCAAACGATAATAACTTTGATTAATATTTTATGATATATTTTTCATTATATTGATATGCGAAAAATTGGAATTTATAGTACTTTTCGTATAGTTTTTGAATATCTAAATTTTTTGTTTAAAATATCAAATTCATAATCTAATTTAATTTTAAAAATTAGTGAAATTGACTTTCAAAAAACGTAATAGGACAATTAAAAGTGAACAGAGGAAGTATGCAGTTGTACCAAAGAAACATTGTATTAAATGTTACAAGTGCTCAATTATGAAGAGACAACTCCAATAACAAATGTTATACAATTATTGCGAGGCGTTCGCAAAACACTGTTTAAAAAATAGTTTTATTTTACTATATATAATAAGTTATTTGAAATAGGTTGATTTTATTTTTTATTACCTTTTTGGTTTAAAAATATTTCCATCATTATGTTTTTACCTAAAACATATCCCCCAACTAACTAAATAACTTTTAAAATATCTTTCTTACTAACAATTATTTCAAAAAAAGAAAAGAAAAGAGAAGTAACTTTTTTAGCTTTCGAAAAAAAGAAATAAATCTAGTGCTTTAAAAGCTTAGGGTGCATTTGAACATGCAATTACATATATGTTTTGAAAAATTGATTTCAAACAACGATTTATCAATAGGGTGTGTTAGAATATTCTGATATCTTGTTTATGAAGTACGATTTGCTTATTTATTAAGAAGAATTGAAGAAATTTTGATAGTTTTCACAACTTGTGAATTTTTTATATTTATGAAAAAAAAAATACAACTTAAAAAAGTTTATATTACATCTGAACAAAATTTCAACTTTAAATTATGATTTCATATCACATGTCCAATTAGCCCTTAGTCAAACACCGATAGCTTTAAAAAAAACTTGACCTAACAAGCTACAAATATTATAACATGCAATTATCTTTTAATTAATCTAATTATATAAATAAATAATTTTACACTATCATACATGCAACTTAGAATCTATTAAGTTCTTAAATAAATTATAACAAAGCAAACAAAGAATTTAAAATTTATTAAAAATTGAGCGAGTTGAGTTGTCATTCGATTTTTAATTTATTTCAGTCTAACTCATTTTAACATAAGTAACTAATAACATGTTTATGGTGAATTTCATACCTAAATTATCACTTATTAACTACTTGTGTCAAAATTATTATCTTGCCTTTTTTTTTGGTTTCCCATATAATTATTTTGTTTTACTTTTCCAGCACAATTTCTTAAATGATGTTAGGTATGAGAAAATAATTAATATATTTGATCAAATTTTTTTGGATGATTCAATTTATGACCCAAAGAAAAACGACAGATCACCTACATTATTATCATTCACTTTAATTTTTTTTTGTTTGTCTTTTCCCCATTCTTAAGAAAAAATTGGAAATTGTCCATTTACTAATTAATGATGTTAGGTTAAGATAATTTATCTTTAAAAGTATTTTACTAATAATGATGTATATTTTATATAAATTACTTATCAAAAATTCCATAACTTTATTTTTCTAAAATTTAAAATTCATAAACTCGAAATTTTAATTTGTGTCTCTACTTTCAAAAATCAACATACTATCAGAAACAACATAAATTAATAATGCAAATCTCGGACTCTTTTTACTTAAATAAAATTATTTATACATATTAAATATTTTAAAATATATTTAAATACAAAATTTGCATTAAAATCGACCCATAACTATAATGGTGACTCTACCCAAGATTAAATTGTACCAACTATATTAACTATTTGTGGGTTACACAAAATATCAATATTAGATAAAAAAAAAATATTTTCCAAAAAAAAAAAAGACTTAGATCAAACCCCATGTATATATTGAGCGTAGCACGGAAATTCACCACAAATAAAATGGAGGATTTTTAAAAAATGATGAGCTTTTTCCTAGCTAGTGTATCATCTTGTGTTGTCAGTTGTCACCATAAATATAGAGAAAGGCAAGACAATCATTTTTAATTAGAGGCTTTGAATTTGAGTCTCCTTAAATACAGAATCACCATTTTTAAAAAGCATTTTACCATTCAATATAGAATTTTCTAGCGTAAATTTGAATTTAAACAGACTCTAATATAAATATCAGATGATATCATATGGATAACTAAAAAAAAAGAAAGAGAAAGGCAAGATAATCATTAATTCTATGTGTCTCAATTTATGTGACACACTTTTTTAAATTCGTTAAAAAAAGAATATCACTTTTTTGTAATTAATTTTAAAATTTCTCTTTTATCTTTAATGAAATAATTTGTAACCGCACAAAAATTTAAAATTTGTTTTAGACCATAAATTTTAGAAGTCATCCTATTTTTGCCTATAAAAGCCTAGTAATGTTACACAACTATCTTCAAGTATTTTGAAAATGGCAACTAATTGCAATGGAAATGGAGCTTCAATTTTTTCTCCCAAGTTGCAAGTTGAAGCAATTCAAACTGTGATACCAATGAAGATAACCGATCCACGATTCTCGAGGCGAATCGCGATACCTGAGAATTTCGACTTGGGTAATTTGCAAAGGCGTTTTCACATGGTTTTGTACTACAACAAGGCGTCAGAGACGGATTCAGGATGGATAGTCGCTGGTTGGTTTAAGGAGTCATTGGGAAGTGCAATAGTTGAAAATCCAATATTTGCTGGAAGATTAAGAAAATTAGAGGATGATTTTGAATTAGTTCCAAATGATTCTGGTGTTAGAATGCTTGAAGCTAATTTTCCAATGAATATGGTTGATTTTATTGATCTCAAGAAGAAGGAAAATATTGAAAATGAACTTGTTTATTGGGAAGATATTCATGAAACAAGTCCTCAATTTTCTCCCCTTTTCTTAATCCAGGTAAGTACAAGAATAAACTTAATACTTTCTCCGTTTCAATTTATGTGATATTTATCACATTTCAAAATTTAAACAAATTTTTCTTTCTTTAATTATAAGTACTTTTTTTAATATCTCGAATTATAAATTATTGTCACTTGTAGTATATATTTTTTTTATGCAGTTTTCAAATATATAATTTCTATTTCAAAAATCATCAAGATTCATGTCCAAACTTACAATTAAAATTAAACTATTTGATTCTCAAAATTTGAATGGTGCCACATTAATTGGACATAGGGAGTAATAATTTCTTGGAAAATAATCCTCATGTTTTAATTTGTTTGTATGGTTTTGATTTGATATAGAGTTTAAAAACAAGACAAAAATAGAGTTTTAAATTTTATGGTTTTAAACTAAGATATGTAAAATATAACTCAAAATACTTTTTATTTTTGAAATTTTAAACACGTCATGTGAAAAAATTAAATTAAATAATTATAAAAAAAACATTTTTTCTAAAAACAGACCAATTAGGGCCTTCATTCGATTTAGGCCAATAGCTGTTAGAATTAGGCCAATAGGGCACACCACATATATTGATAAGAAAGCACCCTTCTTAAAAAAAAATTATATTGTGTAGATAAAATAATTAGAATTTAATGGTCGAGCTAGAAATTTTTATTAATGACGTTCGAAGTAAATATACAAAGAAGTTAATAGTATTCAATATTTAATACACACATACATATAATTTTACTAGTGAAAATTCTGACTCGGCTACTAATGTATTCAGATGACTAACTTTCCAATGTTAAATCTTTCTTCTTACTCATTTTCCAGGTGACAAATTTCAAGTGTGGAGGATACTCAATTGGAATAAGTTGTAGCTTATTTCTAGCTGACCCTTTTGCTATGACAAGTTTTTTAAAATCTTGGTCCAAAATCCACAACAACCTTGTCTCACAAATTGACTCACCAAAACTACCAGCATTTTACACACCAAATTTCACAAAAATTGGCTCTTCACCAACTCTATCTACTACAAGTCCAAAAACAAAAAATCAAATCACAAATACTCTAATTTTCAAGAATCCCAAAACCCCTTTGAAAATGAACAACAATGAATTCCTCAAGAATCTTACATCAAAATGTATTGGAGAAATAGAGGGAAAAATTGGTAAAAATATATCTTCAAATTTCACTATTTTAGTGAAAGAGACTTTTGGAAGTATTAAGATGGAAAATTGTTCAAGAGAGGAGATAATTAAGGAGGAGGAAAGTGGATTATTATCTATAATTTCAACAAATTGGAATGATTTGGGAGCTGATAAAGTAAGATTTATTGAAGGAAATGAGGCTATTCATGTTTCATGTTGGATTATTAACGGAGAAAATAATCAAGATCTTGTGATGATTAGTCCAACTAATGATGAAGACAACTCTGAACTAAACATTATAATTACAATCTCTAATTAGATTCTTATAAGGTTGATAAATTTAAATTGTATTCATTTTCTCAATTTCCACCAAGAAAAAAAAGGTGCTGACTCTTTTTTGAATCTTGCGTGAACGCAATATATTATTCTTTATTTTAATTTTGGGCTTTTGGTAGACATTGATTCTCTCTTCACTAGTTGTTCAAGGGAATTGCTGTACTATTTTTAGTTATTATATATATGTTCTTGGAAATGAAAACTAGCTGCTTTTGTTTATTTTTGTATTTATAAGCTTTTGTGAATTCAAATGTCAATGCATAAAAGTTAAAACTTCTTTTTAGTATTATGAATTTGGGATGCATTTGACTTAATTTGTCTCAATCATGTACCCTTTAAATGACTTGTAATTATATTGGTCGATGATACTTGATAGTAAGGTGAGGGTAACTATTGATGTGAAAGTTGAAAGCTATAGTGAATGATGATAATGACGATGGTTGGTGATATATAATGATGCTTGTATTTCTACTCTCAATTGCCATTGAGTTATTTCTCACTTCACATTAAAATTGTCCATTTTTAAATATCTTACAAATTTTAAGCAAATCATAATAAAAAAATAACATGCAAACATAAGGGACCAAACCTGGGCCTCATGTAAGTTTTGCGTATACCCTTACCACTACGCAATAGATATGCATTGGTTCTAAGGAATTTAAAAAAATATATACTATATATACCAATATAAAGTAAAAATTTAACATATATAGTGTAATTTTCCGACCCTAACACTATCGTAGCTCTGCCCCTACATAGCTATGGTGAATTATTGCTAATGATGATGGTGAATAATAATGATGATTGTCGTTGGTACGTATTGGTGATCATGATAGTTTTCTAGTTGATAATGGTGGACGATGACAATAAACTAATGGAATTAAACATTTCTTTTTACTTATTATAATTATTAATCATTTGATGGTGTTAAGCCAGTTGTGTTTCACAGATCAGCTATCCCCCACATACAGAACAACCCACTCCCTCCTAACTTCTCCTTTTGACTCGGACCTATTTTTCTCTCTCCGCCACGTGTCACCTCAATAAAAACATCTCCACAACCGAAAAATTCATTTTTCGCTCTCTCTCTCTGCTCGGAAAATTTTGAGGTACTGCACTTTTCTGCCCCTCCGAATTTCATTCAGATTTCTCTGTAAATTTTGATCTGAAGTTTTTTTTCTTCGTTCGCCATTTCTCTGATCCTTTTCGTTCAATTTAGGTGCGTTTTTTTTTTGCGATTGATACCTGTTTTTGTTCGTTCGGAGATGCATTGTTGTGATTTAGTTGTAGATTTTCGTAGCAATTGATTTGATTGATTGAGTGATAAAGATTCTATTTCACTTCGGAGAATTTGAAAAAAAAAATAATCTGTTTTTGCTCGGGATATTGAATTTGAGGTAATGTATTTCTCACAGCCGAAGTTTCACTAAAAAGTTCTGTTAGTTTGATTTGTGGTTTCGTTTTCTCCTTACGCTGTTCGGTGATTATCAGTTTTCGTTCAATGAATGTCCGATTTTTTTATTTTTTTTTGCGATTGATATATGTTTTGTTTGTTTTGAGATGCATTGTTGTGATTAACATAGATGTTAGGGTTTGTGATTTGGTTATTGATTTTAGTTGTAATTGATTTGAATGATTGATTAGGTTTTGGTGTCAGAACGGAAAATTTCACTTTTTTTATTTGGTGTGTAGCTAAGTGAGTTTTGAGGTAATGCAATTTGACATCTGATTTTCACTTTAGTAAATTAAAAATGAGTTTGATTTTGAGTTTTTTTTTTTCCCTTCTTATGCCATTCTCTGATACTGAGTTTTCGTTGGATTAAGGGCCGCTTTTTTTGTTGCAATTGATATATGATTTGTTTGTTTTGACATGCTTTGTTGTAATTAACATAGGCGCTAGAGTTTTGTGTTTGATTTGAGTGATTATGGTAGTGATTTGATATGATTGATCAGGTTTTGGTTTCACAACGGAAATTTCTCTTTTTTTTCTCTGCTCAGAAATCGGAATAGCTAAGTGAGTTTTGAGGTAATGCATTTTCACCTATGAATTTCACTAGAAAAAATTCAATGAGTTTGATTTGAGTGTTTTTTTTCCCTCTCACCCTTCCGTGATCATCAGTTTTTGTTTAATCAAGGTTCATTTTATCTTCTTTTTTTTTCTTCGTCTGTGTGTTTTGTTATTGTGATTGATATCTGTTTGTTTGTTTTGAGATGCATTGTTGTGATTAACATAGGTGCTAGTGTTTGTGATTTGGTTATCGGTTTATGTGGTAATTGATTTGATTTGAGTGATTGATCAGGTTTCAGCTTTCATCATGAGTGCTGGTGCTACCAACCAGTTGATATCTGTTAGTCCTCCGGAGCTCAAATTCCAATGTAATCTATCTCTCTCTCTCTTCATTGTTTATTTGTTGTTAAGACAATTTGAATGTATAAGAATTTCTGTTTAAGAATCTTGTTGTGTGGGTTTACAAGTTAAGATGTGTAAGTAGAAAGGGGAAATGATTTTGCTTTCAGTTGATCTTTTTCAACATTGACCAGAAATGAGCTCTTTGGACAACTTATGAGAAAATCTTTTTGAACCTGATTTTTACAAACATTAGTAGATAATAGTATTTCTTTTGCATGAAGATTTTGAGTGGGAAAACATTCTCAAACTCTTTAGTTCATTACAAAAAGAAGAGATTTCGCAGAACCTTAAGCAACCACGTTTTGCAAGATTTTTGTATGATTTCAGTAACTTTCTGGTGGAAAAATGCTGCCTAGTATCACCTCTGTGCTATTTTTGTTATTCTCATTAATAGGATTTTCTGTGATGTGGAAATGTGTAATTCCATTCATTTGATCGGAAGTGACTGCCTATTGCTTGAGAAGTTGGACAACTCTGATACTCACGGTGCTCAAGAGCTAACAGACATTGTGAAATAATCTCATTGTACAACATTAAGAATATGTTTGAGAAGTGGATATGGTGAAGGAACTGTTCAAAATCATATTTTTTATCCTGTTTCATTTTATATGGCAATGTTACTATTTGGAGAATCGAGCATCTTTGTCTTCACCTACAACTTTATCAAATACTTTTTGAATATATTTACTCGTCATACACACTCATGTTTGGTTGTGGTTCTGGCATTTCCTGTCTCAGTTGAGTTGGACAAACAAAGCTACTGTGATCTTAAAGTCACAAACAGCACAGATCAATGTGTTGCTTTTAAGGTTTGCTTCATCTTGATTGGAAGAAATTCCACAAATCCTTCATTTCTTCTTTAAGAACTTCTATAACTCATTTCCTTGGTTCACTCTTCCTATACTGCTTGTTTTTATTTGATAGGTGAAAACTACTTCTCCAAAGAAGTACTTTGTCCGACCAAACACTGGTATTATACAGCCTTGGGATTCAGGTTTCATTCGAGGTGCCGTTCTTGAGCTTGAATGTCTTTGCAATTCGCATAATTTTTTTTTCTAAATTACAGATAGTGTTATTTGTTGTAACAGAATATGTACACAAGACCCTGTAGGCCTAAAATTTTACAGAAACCGAATCAAATTATACCTCAAGCGTAAAAGTACAGTGGGATATTGCATTAGATTATATATAGCTAGAGTCTAGAGATATGCCCCAATGTTGTATGGTGGCTTAGATTGATTTACGTGAGTTGTTATTTGTCTCTCACTTAGGTAGACTACAAACCTTTATCTTTCAGGATTGTGATGAAGCGATGCTTCAATGGCTTTAAGTGTCACACTGCACACATTTTCTTTTATAATATATTGATTTTCACAGAAAAGTTACCATTATGGCGATTGCTATACTAATTAACCAATAAAAAGGGAAGGTATCAAGGATTATTTCACATACATTTTGTGCAGTTTGAAGTCATCTGTAAAATGGGAAACATTATATGATATACCCCTCTTCGCTTTGACCAGATCAGTGCAGTTGATCAAGAAGGGATGTCAACTAGACAGATCCTCTTTCACTATCTGTGTCCTTTGATTGTTTTTTTTTTTTTGGTAAAGTAACAATTTTATTACAAAAAAGGTGTTAGTTACAAAACCAAATAGGGCTGACCACCTGTTTTTGTAAGAATACAGACTCAAACAATTTTATCTTGATCGTTACAATTTTATGATGTTGTTTGCTACATGAAAATTGCTTCCGCAATAGTCTACTATTGTAATCCCAAGATCGTTATCTTTTCAGTAGGGCGGATTGGCATTTTATATTTAGGTTAAGTTTTTGATGTGTCTGCAGTCACTCTTCAAGCTCAAAAGGAGTACCCAGCAGATATGCAATGCAAGGACAAATTCCTCCTACAGAGCGCAATTGTGAATAATGATACTGATGAACTTCCTCCAGATACTGTAAGAATTTTATTTCAAGAGAATCTGTGTAATATGCTTACAGAGTGAATAGCCTTCTTGTATTATATTAGTATTATTTTATTTTTATAAATGTTCTATACTTCTGTTAATTTATCTTTGATGCATCCAGTTTAATAAGGATGGTGGAAGAACTGTAGAAGAGTGCAAGCTTAGGGTTGTTTACATGTCTTCTCATTCCTCTCCTGGACCTTATGAAGATGTATTTCGACAAAGTTCTGATTTCACTTCAGTAAGTTCTAACTTTAGCTAGCATTTTTGTCTACCACTTCAAGTGCTTATTTGAACCTCACGTTTTTCACTAGGGATAGATATTTCTTCCCAGATGTAATAATGCTGAGTTTCTTGGTAGATGATGGCTAGTGGCTGAGATTTATAAGCATGCAGCTAAAATTCTCTTAGTTTTGGAAAACTAGGCTTATTTTGTGCACTGATAAATTTCTCATATTTGCCTTTCTACTTTTCTCATCCTACATTGAAAAGCCAGAGACTGCTCACTTTTGTGATATAATTTGTGCTTTTGGTTGACTGTCAGTGTCTGGGAATTGATTTATAATGTAGAACACTTACTATAATACCCATACGGAGATGTCCATATAAGAC